CCCCCTACACACACACACACAGAGCCCTGCCAGTGCCCCTCACTCCTGACCCACAGCCCCTGCCCCCCACCCCAACACTGGGCTCTCCCCTGCTGGCACCCAGGAATTTGCTCTGCTCCTTGCCACAGGTGCAGACATGTGAGGCGGGGCTCATTCCAGACCAGCAGGTCCGGGTTACCATGACGGCACATGCCTACCAGACCCAGAGTGGCTCGGGGAACCTGTTGCACATCCAGGCAGACTTGCAGCCTCCCAGTGTTGGCTCCACCCTGCAGCTCTTGCTCCAGATCGGGCAACCAAACAACAATATCAAGCAGTTCACCATCCTGGTGAGGCTGTGGGCCAGGGCGGGGGTGCCCCCTCATTGTTTGTCCCCCCGACTGGGCAAGCAGCCTCCCCATGCCTACTTCCTGCCTGCCAGTCCCCACTGTGCAGGCCCCGTGTGTCTGCCCCTCTGTCCATGACCTTAGGCCCCCTCCTTCAATTCCTCCACTTGTCCCTCCCTTAGATCCTTGGTATCCATCTACCCTGCCATTCCCCTCCCATCTACCTACCCATCTCCATGTACCCCCTTCATCTATCTATCTATCTATCTATCTATCTATCTATCGCTTCCTCCCTCAACAGGCAGATCTGTTAACTCTCTGCCCTTCCACCCTCCCCTCTCTTCCACCTCCCCCAGGTGCTGAGCAAGGGGCAGATTGTGGGTGCCTGGGTGCAGCCGTGCAGCCAGGGCAGCACTGTCACGGGGTGGGGGGCTGCAGGTGGAGCCATCGATGCTGCCATCCTTCCGTGTCGTGGCCTTCTATTACCTGGCAAGTGGAGAGATTGTGGCCGATGCTGTGTGGCTGGGGATCAAGGACAGCTGCATGGGCACTGTGAGTACTGTGGGGGAGGCCTTGGGGGGGCACCAGGGGGCTCGGTTTCACCCTGCACTCCCTCCAGCTCCGCGTGGGCCCCACAGGCCCGACGGATATGCTGCGCTCATTCCGCCCGGATGGTGAGCTGAGGCTGATGGTGACGGGTGATGCCAGGGCCCTGGTGGGGCTGGTGGCTGTGGACCAGGCCCTGTTGACCCTGGGCAAGAAGAACAAGCTGACACAGAAGAAGGTGAGCCCCCACCCCTCCCCTCCCCAGATACCTGAGTATTTTCCCCAGCATGCATCCATGTCCAAGCCCATGCATGTCCCACATCCCCAGATCTGGGACATGGTGGAGCGATATGACATCGCCTGCAGCACGGGCAGTGGCCAGAACCATGTGGGGGTGTTCACGGATGCTGGCCTGGACATGGTCACCAACATTGGCATCAGAACTGTGGCCAGGACTGGTACCATCCGTGGGGGCAGGATGCATGGGTAGCACTGGCTGAGATGGGGATGGGGTGGGCTGAGCCTGTTCCCAGGGGACCCCAATGGAACCCAGGAATCTGGTTCAACTTGGTCTGACCTGCAGTGGGTCCAGATCCTGCTGCTCAAGCTTGGGGTCCCAGCGAGGCCATGGGGAAGGGGGCAGCGGCTGTGTCCCCCTATCCCCTCACCACTGCCTCTCCCCTGGCAGAGCTGCTGTGTCCCCAGCAGAGCCATCACCGTCGCCGATCCTTGAAGAAGCTAGAAAGGAAGACCAAAGGTGGGGAGTAGGCGCAGAGGCTGCAAAGCCCCACCCTGGCCCCCCAGGACCTGGGGCCAGCTGGGGGCAGGGACCATTCAGTGCTGGAGGTTGGCTCATGCTCCAGCCCATGCTGGCGCTTGACTAGGACAGCCCTGGCCTGGCCCAGGTGCTCCCCATGCCTCTTCTGGAACATGGGTGGGGGCTGGCACCCACATGCCTGGGTGCCTCGACCTGACACTGCTGCCCCCCTGCAGTGGAGGGGTATGAGACGCCACTGGAGCGGCAGTGCTGCATGGCCGGGATGCAGGAGAGCCCCATGGGACACACATGTGAGAAGCGTGTGCACCATGTGCACCAAGGCCCTTCTTGCCGTGCTGCCTTCCTTGACTGCTGCCGCCTCAGCCAGGACCTGAGCCAGGAGGAGAGGGCCCAGCTGTTGCTTGGGAAATGTAACGGGCACACTTGGCCTGGGGCGGGGTGGCGTGCGGCGGGCAGGGCTTGTAGGGATCCCAACCAGCAGGGAGTAGGGAGCTACTCTGAGATCAGACCCTGGCGCAGCCCCACGCAGGGCCTGGATGGACTTGGCTCAAGACCCCCCCTGCCCCATCAGCATTGTGAAGTACCAGATCAAGACCAAATTGCCTCACTCCATCACCACCTGGCACATCCTGGCTGTCAGCATGAGGAAAGACAGAGGTACTGGGACCTTCAGGGGCTGCAGCTCAGGAGTGAGAGACACCAGCAGGGCTGGTGGGGGGAGGTTGGGGGGTGGGCAGTGAGCTTCAGGGTTGGAGTGAGGGGCACTGGCAGGGCTGGGGTGGGGGGCACTGTAAAGCGGGCACTCATGCATCCTGGTGCTTGTGGTCCCTGCTCTGCTGCTCATCCCGGCAGGGATTTGCGTCTCAGCACCCTACACGGTGCTGGTGAAATTGCCGTTCTTCGTGGACCTGCGGCTACCTCCAGCTGCCATCCGCAATGAACAGTTGGAGCTGCGGGCTGTACTCTACAACTACCTGTCTGAGAAAGTGTGGGTGAGCTCATGGCCAGGAGGGCACAGAGCTTGGTGGAGGACACCAGCCTGGCTACCTTGCGGTCTGGCTGACATGGCTGGCCTGGGCCCTGCAGGTACGCGTAGAGTTCCCGTTCCAGGAGGGGCTGTGCAGTGCGGCACAACCTGAGAAGTCAGCCTGACAGCTAGTGTGGGTGCCGCAAGGTGCTGTCCGAGCTGTGCGCTTTGTGGTGGTACCACTGGCACTGGGCAGTGTCATGGTCGAGGTGCGGGCATCCGTGTTGACCCATGGCCTGTATGACTCTGTGAGGAAGATCTTCACTGTGCAGGTGCCTGCCCCCATCCCCTGCCCCAGCCCCCTCAAATTCTGTCCCTGGGTCCTGATCTCTGCCTTCTGCTCCTGTCTTCCAACCTGCAGCCAGGGGGAGAACAGCAGTGACTCCAGCGCAGCATCATCCTGGACCTGAGAGGTTGGTGCTCACCCCATCCATCGATCTGCTCGCTCTGTCTGTCCATCTAAGGGTGCCAGGCCCTGCCTCGCCACACCCTGGGCAACCAGGGGCTCTTGCAGGCCCCATAGTCTACGACCAGCCCCAGGAAAACCCCCTCCCCCTCCCCCTCAGCTCAGCCTGGCCTTGGAGCCCTTTGTAGCTGGTCCCTGGCCTGGGCAGCAGGTGCCTGGCTCCCGGTAGGGCCCCCCTGGGAGTGTACCAGGGGAAGCCAGCAGCGGAGGTCTCTGGGGGAAGTGGGGTAGGGAAGCCAGCAGTGGGGGTCTCCCTGCCCCCCTGGAGGTAGCAACCAGTATCTCTTGGCAGGGAAACCCCAGATGGAGCTCATCCAAGGCCACCACTTAGACAACTTGGTGCCCGACACAGAGGCTGAGGTCTTCCTCAGTGTGCAAGGTGCGTGCAGACAGTGGAGGAATAGCTGTTGCAGGCTCAGCTCCAGGTGGACACATCAGATAGCATGTGGCCACCAGGCCAGTCCCCCTGCATGCATATCCTTGCACACACACAGAAACACTGCAGCTCAGTGCATATGTGGGCCTGTTTGCACACACTCACGTGCACACACTCACCAGGCAAACACACCCCCAGGCTCTCATGCTGGTGCTGCTCTTATCCCCCACCCTCGGGGCCTCTTACATGAGTCCCCACGCGTGCCTGAGCCTGGACTCTGTCCTCCCAAGTGTGGCTGGACCTGGCTAGTGCTGACGCAGTGGGCTCAATGCCAACACAAGCAACAGCGGCTGGTGCAGAGAGACCCACGGTCAGCTTGAGACAGGGGAAGGGGAAGGGGCTGGGGCAGGGGTATGGGGGCCATGCCCAGTGCTGTCTGCTTCTCCCCACAGGCAACCTCCTTGGGGAGATGCTGGTAGGGGGGCTGGAGCTGGGGGGTGATGTGCTGCAGCAGCTGGTGGTGCTGCCCAACGGCTGTGTGGAGCAGAACATCTTCAGAGTGACGCCCAACATCCTCCTCACCCACTACCTGGATGCCATGAGGCAGTGGCACCGTATCGGGGTGGATCACCGGGACCGCACCATCCAGCACATCCTACATGGTGTGCAGTGATGATGGTGGTGGGGGATGGCCCTGCTCCTGTGCCCCCAGCTGGCCCTTGACCAGGGCTTCCTTGGGCTCCCACAGGCTATGCCAGGCAAATGCAGTACCGCCAGTCGGATGGCTCCTACTTCCCCTACAGAGGCAGCACTGGAAGCACCTGGTAGGCACAATAGCAGCCCCAGCCCCAGGTCAGGGGGGCAGACAGTGCTGCCCTGCTCCTCACACTACTCTCCATCCTGGCAGGCTCACTGCCTACATCCTCAAGGTGTTCACCATGGCCCACCCGCTGGTGAACACCATAGACCTCCAGGCCCTGTGCTCCAGCGCTGCCTGGCTCATCCGCAAGAAGCAGGGCTCTGAAGGCCACTTCTTTGAGAACACCCCCATCTACACCCCAGCGATGCAGGTATCCAGCTCCCACTGGATGCGGACACGGCTAGCAGTGGGTGGGAAATGACCCCCTCCCCCACAAGGGAGAGCAGGAGACCATGCAGGAAGGAGGCCATAGCTGACAAACTTTTTTTTGTTTGTTTGCAAAAATATATATTTTTTCTCTCTCTCTCTATAAAAATATATAACTACCTCTAACAACCTGTCAAGCAACCACTGTGGTTCACATGACAGATCAAAATATACTTTGACAGTTAAACTAATGTAGTCCCATTACACTCTCTTGGCTATGCCAAACCATAACACAGCACTTGCTGCCTTCATTAGGTTACAGAGTTAACACCCCTCCTCTGGGCTTACACCTCCTATCCATGGCTGGGGGGGCCATCCACACCACCCAGCCCCCAGCAGAGACCTGATCCCTGACCATCTCCACTCCTACCAGCAGCAGGTGGTGCCTGGGTGGGGTCCCCCTCAGGTCTCGGCTGCTGGCTGCAGCATCCCACCCTTCTCTTCCTTGGCAGGGTGGATACTTGGGCTCTGAGCAGCGAACTTCCCTCACTGCCTTTGTCCTCATCGCACTCAAGGAGGCTGAGCTGATGTGTGCTGGGCATGTGCATGTATGTGAGCACCTGCAGGATCCCCTGCTCTGTGCTGTGGGGCTGGGCCAGCTCCCAGCAAGCATCTGCCTGGGGTGCTGGGGGGCAGGTGTCTGGCTCCTCGGGATGCCTGTGGCAGCTGCACTCTCTCCCCCAACGCTGCCCCTCTGCCCCACTCAAGGGTTTGTCCTCCAGCCTGCAGCAAGCCCAGCGCTTCCTGGAAAAGCACCTGGGCAGCCTGACCCAGGCCTACAGCGTTGCCATCAGCTCCTACGCCCTGGCCTTGGTAAACAGCTCCAAGGCCAATGACGTCCTGGACTTGCTTCCCGCAGTGAGTGTGTGTGCTGCACATGTATGTGCAAGGGACAGTGTGTGCAAGTGCACAAATGCATGGGAGGGCACGGGAGCAGGTGTGTGTGTAACTGCATGCACAAGAGGACGGGTGCGCCTGCGCTGGCAGTAGTGTATGCAAGGGGTTGTACCTGCAAACAAGCAAGTGTGAAGGCATGCCAGAGGCAGGTGCTGGCATGCATGAGAACACGACCAGGTATAATCATGCAGGGGGGTGCGAACATGCACAAGGGGCCACGTGTGTGATGGCACACGCAGGTCCATGCATACACGTCAGAGATAGGCATGAGAGTGTGACTGCCCATGGGCCAAGTGTGACTGCCTCTGGCCCTCAGACTGGACACACTGGCCTACAAATGAGCAGGACTCTGACTCCCTGACAACTGTGGAGGCCACTGCCTATGCCCTCCTGCAGAAGGTGAAGCTGGGGCAGCTGGAGGAGGCCCACGGCATTGCCTGCTGGCTGGTTCAGGCCCGCGCCTATGGTGGTGGATATGAGAGCACCCAGGTGAGAGCCCTCTGCCCCCCAGGGCTGCTCAGGGACACTTGCAGTGTGCTGGCTGGATCTCAGCTGCTCCTGGGTGCCTGGAGCGCCCCTTGCCACATCAAGGCCCTGCTGGGGGCAACAGGGCTGGGGCAGGATGGACCAGGCCCTAGTCAGGCCAGCAAGGGGCAGCAGGAGGCAGCAGGGCCCAGACGCTGCAGTGACGGTCTATCCCGCCCCTCAGACCACAGTAGTGGGGATGCAGGCACTGGCTGGGTACCAGCTGGCGCTGCCCCCCCAGCCCGCTATGGAGCTGAGGGTGCAGGTGAGTGCTCCCAAGCAGCACGTGACCGAGCACTGGGCCATCGATGCCTCCAATGCCTACCTGAGCCGCACCAGCACCAAGAAGGTCAGTGGCCCCCTTCCCCACCCAGTGATGCTGGGCTGGATCAGACCCCCACCCCCCACTCATCACCAGCCCCTCCCTTGCAGTTCTTGGCCCAGAACACCCTGGAAATCAGCACCAATGGGATGGGCGTTGGCACGGTGACGGTGAATGCAGAGTGGCTGGGGGCTCCTAGCAGGGGAGGGGGGAGGCCCAGGGCAGGATGATGAAGCTATTCCCAGCCTAGAGCAGGCAGCCAGGACACAGGGGTTCTCACCTAGCTCTGGAAGGACCTCATGCTCTAGGGCAGGGGTGATCCAGGACTGCTGGGTCCTACCTGGTGTGGGACCAGGGGGTAGCTCTTGGACACGTACCACGCCCTCCCCCAGATGCTGATGGTTTACTACACACTGCCCACAGAGAGGGAAGGCACCTGCCAGGCCTTCCACCTGGATGTGGCTGTTCAGGACACCCCCAAAGGTATGGCCAGGACCCGTGTGCCCCTCAGTCCCCCCCACTGGGCACCGTGCCTTTACCTCCTGCAGCCACACTGACCCCAGGGGTTTACAGACAAGAAGAAGCGGAACTTTATAGACACCTTCTGGCTCAGGATCCGTGCCAGGTAACACCCCCATCCTCCCCACACCAGCCTCTGAGGCCTGGACACCATGCCCAGTTGGTGGAGGGGTTGGGGGTAGGGGGCTGTATTCACTGCCCAGAGATGTTGCGGATGTCCCAGCACCTGTCTTGGTGGAAACCCCTGCCCCCTGCCCTGGTGTCCCTGCCAGAGGGCCCCCTGCCCCGCCTTCTGTAGGGGGCACAGAGTGGAGAGGCCTCCCCAGCCCAAGACCCTGCCCATTAGCTGAGGCAGCCTATTCCCAGGGCGCAGGGGGCGCAAAATGCCACAATGACCATCGTGGACATCTCCATGCTCACTGGCTTCTACCCTGACCTGGACGACCTCAAAAAGGTACCTGAGGGCTGAGGCCATCTGGGAAGGGCAGGTGGGGGTGGGTGGAAGTGGGGCTGGCAGGACACTCTCTGCTAGTGACCTTTACCCCCTGCTGCACTGGCCTCAAGCTGAGAGGTCCCTGCCAGACAGTGACTGGCTTTGACAGTGACAGGCTTTGTTTTTTGTTTGTTGTGGGGTCTAACTTACCTGGAGCTCCCAGCGGGGGAGGGAGGGGTCTCTGATGCTCTTGGGCCTTGGCCCAGTTCTGGGAGCTGCCCTGCACCATGGCTGGTTCTGTGACTGCTGCCACCCATAGCTTACCAGTGTGGTGGAGCAATACATCTTCCTCTATGAGACCAAGTCTACGCTCAGCAACAGCTCCCTCATCCTCTACTTCAGTGAGGTGAGGTGTCCCCCTGCCCCCACTCTAGTGGCAGCACCCCTGAGCCAGCCCCAGGCACCCTAGTGTCTCCCCTCCCAGCCACTGTGAACAGGGGCCCTGGGGTGCTGCTCCAACCACACTCCAGCATGGCCCCCTTGCCTGCTGCTCTGCTCAGCACAGGCCAGGACAGGAGGGGCAGCAGGGGCATGGAGCAGAGCTCAACGATGGAGGCAGAGCTGGACTCCCCGCATATCTGTCCATATCTCTACAGATGTCCAGTGAAGAAGAGGTTGAAATCCGGTTCCGCATCCACCAGCACATGGAGGTGGGGCTGCTGCAGCCAGCTGCTGTCACCGCCTATGAGTACTATGAACCTTGTGAGCACCTGGGGTGTGGGAGGGGCTGGGGGCACTAATGGGGTCTGGCTACCATCCCCCAGGGCAGCTAACAGCTCTTCTCCAGGCACCTGCATTCAGTATTGCCCCAGTCCCCAAACTCAGCCAGACCTGTGAGAATCCACCTGGTCTGGACTGAGTGCACCAGGACACGCAGCCCAGGTGTCACTGTGGCTGCAGGGGGGACAGGGAACAGAGACCCCAGGACCAGGTACTGCAGGGCAGGGGCAGAGGCAAGGAGTGCCCTTGCCATTGCCTTCCTCATGCTCCTCAGCACGGCACTGCAGCCGCTTCTACAACCTGCCAGCACAGAGTGGGCAGCTGAAGATCTGCCAGAAGGAGGTCTGCAAGTGTGCTGAAGGTAATGCTTGCCCAGTGCCCCGAGATGGGCCCCCATGCGTTGCAGTGGCTCAGCCCTTCTATGCTGACCCGTTCCCCCTTTTTTCCATCCCTAGAGAACTGCCCACAGCTGCATTCTAGCGGTGGAGTCAGCCAGCAGGACCTCATGGAGGCAGCCTGCTATGCCAGGGTTGACAATGGTGTGTCTTGGGCTTGGGTGGGGGGAGGGTAGGGGCACCAGCTATACTGTGGGGAGTGGTGGGGATGCCAGCTTCTGCAAGGTCTTGTGCTGCATATGTTCCTTGCTAGGGGGGAGCTGCAGGGGCCTGGAGCAGGGGTGGGGGGGCAAGCTGTGATACCAACTCCCCACAGCCTACAAGGTGCAGGTGGAGCAGCACACAGCCAAGGACACCTACGTGTACTACACCATGAGGGTGCTGGATGTCATCAAGATGGGTGTGTGCGGGGCCGACGGGGCTGCCAGAGTCCCAGGGGGTAGGGGGCAGAGCAGGGTGCACCCTTCCCTGGCAGGCAGGGCTGTCTGCAATGTCCTGGAGAAGCACCAGGGGGTGCTGTGCCACAGGGGGCAAGGAGAGGCACTCCCCAGGCAGGCAGCAGGGCTTTGTGGGGGGGGGGGGGGTTGAGCCAGGCCCCTCAATGGGGAGCAGCCCTTTGCCTCCACACGCTTCACGCTTGGTTGTGCCAGTTCCTGTACCAACCTGCATCATGTGGTGGGCACGCGGGTTCCTCTTCCAGGCACCGACATGGACGCGAGTGGCCAGCCCCGGCGCTTTGTCTTGCACGCAGCCTGTGAGGAGCTGCTGGGCCTACAGGATGGGGAGCAGTACCTGGTCATGACATCGGACTCAGACCTGTGGCTCACACAGGACAGGTTCATCTTGGAGCCCCTTGGGTGGGGGGAGCTGGAGGCAGGGAGGGAATATGAGCTGCACAGGGAGCTCGTGCCCCTCTCACTCCTACAAGCACCAGCATCCAAGCTAGAACAGGGCAGGGGCCACCCCCATACTTGGCCCCAGGCCCCAAAAACTTGAGAAGGGGCTCCAGCCTTGTAATGCCAGGAGGTCCCTGTCCCAGCACATGCCAGGCTTGCACACGCTTGGCACATGCTTGGCACAAATGCATGAGTGGCCCGTCCATCACCAGGGCAGGGGAGGGGGGTCAAGTCTCCAGCCACAAGCAGAGCACAGCTGAGCCTCTTCTACCTCCCTCTGCTACAGCTTCACTTATGTCCTGGGCAAGAAAAGCTACATCCTGGCCTGGCCGCAGCAGGGGGAGGTTGGACGCCAGGCGCTAGCAGGAGCCTTGGATGACTTCTCCAACCACATGAAAACCATGGGCTGCAGCACCTAGGGTGGCTGAACCCCCTGTCCCCGCACACCCCACGAGGCTGCTGCGCCTCAGGAGTGGGGACCCCAGACGCGCCCTGCCCGCCCCAAAATGCCCAATAAAGCCTTGCTGTGCCACGCTGTGCTGTGTCGTGTCTCCTGCTCCAGAGAAGGCAGTGCCAGGCCAGGGCAGACCCCGAGGCCACCCGGTTGCGGGAGAACGCACCCAGGGGCCCAGACCCAGCTCTGGTCCTTACCCCCAGCAACAAGGGGGCAACAGAGCCCCGCACCCTGCGCCAGCCCCACCCGTCGTGCGTGCACTGGCGGCGGCAGGGGTGGAGCCGCGGGGCCAGCATGATCTCCCGCAGCACCCGCCGGGCGCGCTCCGGCCCCAGCAGGCGCTAGACACCACGGCCACCGCGAGGCCCCGCCCCTAATCCCGGGCCTCGCCGCAGCCGCCTCTAGGGAAATTCCCGGAGCACCAAGGCGAAAACACCACCGGAAGTGCGCGGAGCGCTAAAGCCGGCGCACGGCCGGAAGTGCCCGCGTCCCGCACGGGGGCAGAAGACAGCGTGCGGCGGCAGCATGGGGCGGGCCGGCAAGGTGGGGGCTGGGATCCCCGGTGGGCCCTAAGGATACATTGGGGGGGACCTCGAGGGGGGGCCCGGCCCCACGTGGCACTGACTCCCCGCGCCCCCAGACCCGGAGCCAGAAGGCGGAGCGCGCGGCCGCTCGGCAGCGGGGGCAGGAGGGCTTCGCCGCCGTC